CTTTCCACCTTCGTTCGTAAAACGCCTCCGTTTCGGCTCAGCGCTGCCTGCGGGACCACCTGGGCAGTTAAAAGCACCCAGCCGGGCCCTGCCTTTAAACAAACCAACAAACAAGAAAGGGGAAAGGAGTCGGGGGCAGAGGGAGCAGGGGAGCCCTTGCCGCCGCCCAGGTGTAGCCGTGCGATCGCCGGGGAGCTCTGCTGCGGGAGAGACAAAGGCAGAAAGGGGAATTACGTGATGTTAAAAAACTTTTTTTTTTTTAAAGGACACATTAAGCCCATAGAAGTCTCTGAGAGATATTACTTATTTCTGCTTATTAGTGATAATAGCCCAGTAAATTTGCTATTGAGTGTATCAAAGGCATTCAAAGAGACTTTGAAACATCAAAAAGATTGCAATTCTGATTTTACGGTTTTATTCCAGGCCCGACCTCCTGGCTACATTCCTTGATTGTAGTGTTTAAAAGTAAGCGGGGATCAGAAACGCATCCTCCTCCTTCCTACTCCTCTTCCTCCTCCTCCGCTCCCAGCAGCCCCGACAGGCCGGGACCGGGCTGGGGACTCACCCGGGGCCCCCCCCAGCCGCAAGCGAGCTCAAAGCCTCCCTTAAAAAAATAAAAAATCATTAAAAATGCTTAAAAATTCAACCGCGGAGGCAAGCGCAGCCCAGCGCGCTGCTCCCACTGCGGAGCGAGCCGCTGCCGCCGCTTTTGATGTGTCTGTAATTTACCCTTTTGAATTTTTTCTTTTTAATTTTTTTTAAAATTTTCCTTCCGTCCTTAATTTTGCCTCCCCGTCTCTCTTTTCTCCCTTCACACGCCTCTCTTCCAGTTGAGGTGTTTTATACCAACATCAAAGGGACAACGCCGCCTTTATTATTATTATTATTCTTTTTTTTTTCTTTTTTCCTTTTTATTAGGGCAAAATCCCTCGTTCTTACCGAACCTTTGGAAAGCTTAACAAGAAATAACGTGCAGGGTCTGTGCAGGTCCGCACCTCAACGAGCCAACATGTGCACGCGGAAGAGCCCCTATATTAAATACAGGTTGATCCCAATTTAAAAAGGAGAGCGAGGGAGAGGGAGCCGACTCTTGGAGTGTGTGAGAGAAAGAGGGGAAGAGCTGAGGAGCTGGTAATTATTGAAATATAAGGGTGAGATTAATTCAAAGGAAACAAACTATGAAAACAATTGGAGCCGAGTGAAAAGCAACCCCCAGATTAGAATTTGCTCGTGGTTTGTTGTCTGCCCGCTTTCTTTCCTCCTCCCCACCCATTGTCACAGTGCAAGGCAATGGGATTTGCACACTTGAGGTGTAATAGCATTACTGCATTAATTAAAATTTTCATTTCACGTCCAGATTGTTTACTTATCTGCTGGAAACATATGTCGGGAGAAGTTGAGATTCGGGATTCTGCTCCGCTGCCCAAGGTGCAGCGCAGTACAGGGGGGGAGAGGATGGCTTCAGGTTTTTTTTTTTCAGTTTTTTTTTTTTTCATTGCATCCTCCAGCCTTATCTCCCCGCTGTAAATTATAAGGAGGCTCCATTGAGCTGAATATGAAGATTATATTTGCGAGCCGCGCGTCCTAGAGCGGCCCCGGTCCCACTTTGAAATGGAACAAACCCTACTGGGAGCCCCAGTCCCGCCTCCCCCCCGGGCCGCCGACTCCTCCCCGGGTCCGGGATGGGGGGTGGTGTGG